TCAATCGCTATCTTCCAGTGGTGGCGCCAGGGCAAATGCCCCCCCCCCCAAATTATTCCCCCCCCCCATTTTGCCCCCCTCAAAAAAATATTAGTCACTAAGAGCGACTAAAGGCTACACAAGCGTTTTGTCGTTATCGGAAAATGTATGGCTTATAAGTTGTCATTACTCATTAGTGAATGCGCGTATACATGAAACTGTTTTTTACAGTTTCAATGTTAGTTTGTAAATCTCTGAATGGTAAAACTTGCCAATACTCCAATAATACGTATCAAAAAAGACAAAAAAGCTTTAGTTTTGCAGAGTTAAATTCTCAAACGTGTAAGGCACTAATGAGGGCCCTGAAGGGGTAAAATGGGAACTGGGATTGATCTATTTTTAGACTGGGAAAATGGGATTTGGGTTGCTGGGACTGGGATTTGGCCACTGGGAATGGGAAATGAAGTCCTCAAAAATGGGAATGGGATTGAGGTAATGCGAGTCGATTCCCAATTTTTCTACGTTTTAAGTATTTTAAAATACAATTTTGATCCGTTTTTGGTGTCTTTGGTCATGATTTTTGTTGTTAACTATATTATTTACAGCACTACCTGCGAACAGGCATACTCTGGCCCCCGGAATTCTGGGTTTTCTGATTATGCGTGTCTCAGAATGCTGCAAATGCCATTTCCGGGATTCAAATTAAAAAATTTTCCGTGCCTTCGGCACAAGCCCCCACCCCAATTTCATAAAGTGTGCGCCACTTGCACACACGGTGGCTTAAAAGTCTTAAAACTGTTTATTGTACCGATATATAAAGGGTTTTTTATTGACTGGGATTTCAATAACTCGGACTGGGATTTCTAATAAAAATCCAACTGGGACTGGGATTTTGCCAAAATTTCAAGTTGGAAATGGGATTGGGACCCCCCCCCCTTCAGGACCCTCTTTGAGCGCTGTAAAGGTATTTTTGAGCTATGCTTTATTTGCTATTTTTCTTCGTTTAGATTTGGTTTCGTCACCGAATATATTGTTTATGGAAAAGCATGTTTAACAATCGCTTTAGAACTACTTTTTCGATAACCCCACCCCCAGAAAAAATGCTTATAAACCCAGTTTACATGTTATTTGTTTAGAATATGGTATTAAAGACGTTAAATTACTCTTTATTTATTTTTTGAAACAAGTAAACAAATCAAAACATTTTCCCGCCAAAACTTACGGTTGCCAGTAAGAGTTCAAACGGCTTGTTTTCTTAGCTTTTCGATGAAATTTGTGTCGGTACAAGCACTTATTAATATTTCCAAGACTTCTTATTCTTAAAAATGATCCAAGGATACTTTTTCTTCACATAACGACCTTATAAACGTGTAAAAACGTTTCCAATTCGAGCCTGTCAAATTGACATACGGGAAACCGCTCCGGATACGGGAAAATACCAGTGAACTCTATATATATATATATCGATATATATATACTCTATATAGATATATATATATATATAGAGTTCACTGGAAAATACGGACCACAGTCCGGATACGCATTTTACGGACCGCACGTCAACCAATCAGAATCCAGGATTCTGCAAAGCCATATAAGAGGGGGGTAATGGGGTATTTTCGTGCTCCGTATTGGGGTAATTTAATTATTCGTTCTTCGATCGTTCAGTCATCTTTTTATTAAACGTTTTTCGTTCCCGACATGGATGCCGTGTATCGTGCTTGCGGTGTATTCAATATCCGTTCTCCGTTTTCAGCAATATTTAAGACTGTTATTTCTCGTTTCTGGACAATATATTCCATTAATTTTGTTTCTGGATTTTAGATATGTTTTGATTGGGGAACGCAGTTTTCAAATTTTATAAATCATGAACATCGACGCAATGGTAGCCTGAGTGTCAGACGAATAACGAATTCGTCTGACACTCAGGCTAACGCAATGGACCATTCCCCAATTAACCAAAATTTTGATCTCAACAAGTCTAGACAAAATTCCATCATAGCATGAAAGAGCACCACAAAATTAGTAATATTCCAAAGTTTCATTGCGAAATGTTGTAAGATGCAGATAATATAGTCTTGCGAAATTTGCAATTTTCAGTCATTTTAGAACAAACGGGAAATGGTTACCACTTTTCCAAAATTTTGATCTTAACTAGCCTAAACAAAAATTTCATCACAGCTTGAAAGTATTAGTAATATTCCAAAGTTTCGTTGGAAAATGTTGTAAAATGCGGATAATATAGCCTTGCGAAGTTTGTAATTTTCAGTCATTTTGTATTACGCACAGAAGTGGTAACCATTTCCCGTTTGTAATCTAAAATGACTGAAAATTGCAAACTTCGCAGGGCTATATTATTAAACTTTGAATATTACTAACTTTGTAATGCTCTTTCAAGCTGTGATGAAATTTTTGTCTAGACTTGTTGGGTTCAAAATTTTGGTTAATTGGGGAATGGTCCATTGTAAACAAATATGTGAACAGTACAGACTGTTTATATTCACTTTTAATGAGAATTAAGACCTCTCTAAGTATGGTTGTTGCTTACATTTCATGTTCCCATTACATTTCAGATTCGTAATAAATTTGTTATTTACGTGCTTCAGGACTTCCTTCTTTTATTTTTCATGTTTGAAGATCGCTGCATATTATTTCTGATGCTTCGGGATTGGTACCCCCCCCCCATTACCCCCCTCATATAACAATCCTACTTACTTTACCCAAAAGAACTCATACAAGCTATTTACACCGAATTTAAAACCCGGTGAAATCAGCTCGTGCCCTATTTAATTAAAATGCTGCTCCAGACCCACTAGTCAGTATAGTTCAGCTCTTTATGTACTATTTAAAAAACGAGCAGGAGTGTTTTATTAGGTTTAAAGCACGACCCGCCAGTTTTTTAAATGACTTCAAAAACGTATGCATAATAAGTCAAATCTTTATATAAAAATCTTTATATAAAAATCTTTATATAGTTTGCATAACAATGGTCTTTTGTTAAAGTGTTCTTTAGCTGGTATAAAGACGTATGCACATGACTAATTTCTTACTCAAGATTGGATAATTGCTTCATGAATTATTAATGAGTTTTTGAAAGATGATTTAAAGTCCGATGGAATCGGGTGCAAATGGAGAAAATTTCACACAAGCTCATTTTACCGGAATTCACCGGCCTTTAAATCGTCTACAAATAGTTTAAATGTGTTCATTAGGGAAAAATAAGTAGGAATCTACCGTTGGTTTTCGTCCTGGGTGAATATTTGTGGAGAAAAAGCATAAAAATATTTCAAAGTATTGTCACCGAATAAAGGATTGAGATCACTAGTTGAGCTATGATCAATTCGCTATAAGTTTAACATTGAAACGAAGTTTAATGTACTATTTAAAAAACGAGCAGGAGTGTTTTATTACGTTTAAAGCCACGAGCGCGGAGCGCGAGTGGCTTTAGACCTAATAAAACACGACCTGCGAGTTTTTTAAATGGCTTCAAAAACGTATGCATAATAAGTCAAATCTTTATATAAAAATCTTTATATAAAAATCTTTATATAAAAATCTTTATATAGTTTGCATAACAATGGTCTTTTGTTAAAGTGTTATTTAGCTGGTATAAAGACGTATGCACGTGACTAATTTCTTACTCAAGATTGGATAATTGGATAATTGTGTTTGAATGTTTAGCATAAAATGTATTTCAAATTTCACTGTTAAAACTTCGTTAGGAGAAGGCGAGATTTTTTATTGAATGTGTTTTCAGAGTGCAGGAAATGCTATTTCAGAGGCCCAAATTTTAAACATTTCCTGGAAGGGGCATGCTCCCAGACCCCCATATAGCTAACTCGTGTCTGCAGTACTCGGCTCACACTTTCGGCGATCGCATATAGTATCTTGGGGCGACTGGTGTGGGCAAGGAAATGGGTCCTTTGGCAGTTTTGCCCCACTACTGAAGAATCCTTAAAAAATGCACTGGACGATCATAACTCATAAAAACAACACAAGACACTACATAACTCATGAGAACAACGAAATGAAACTCGACTCACATTTCGCACGGCAGATTTTGGTTTATTTTCTTTCTCTCCGAACTATTTAATATATAAATACAACTAAATCGATTAGTTCTGTATAGAACCAGCCTTGGGGATGCAGTCCCATGAGAAATTACTGTGGTTAAACCGTAGGTTTCTATGTACAATTTGTCTATAACTTAACTAAAATAGAATTCTATACTACAATCTTCTTGACCATGAAAATGCTCAATAAACACCAAACATGCACGTGTATTTACGATCATTCTACTCGCAATGCAACAACCCCATGATGCGGTAAATATAATTGATGGTGCAGGGCGTAGGAACAGGGCGGGAGGCACAGGGGCACGTGCCCCCATTTTTTCCAAAGGACCAAAATTGTCCATTTTGTGCTGAAAAGTGCCTTTTTTGTGCAGCTAATGCGGATGTAAATACTATACATTAACATCGAAGGTGCGCTGTTCGCTTTTTTAAAAAAATTCCCATCAAAAACTTGATTGTACTTTGCAATTCCAAATTTGGGCAAATGTATTATATTAAGCATGAAATATGGTATGACCCCCTCCCCTCAATCTTTTTATGCTCCCTACACCTATGTGATGGTGTTTGCTGTATTTTTGCGGTGTGTAATAGTGTTACTGACCTCAAAAAATATTACTGGATAGTCTGGATTGTGCACCAATGGAGCTCTATCTAGTAAATGTTCGAGATCAGTATACCAGTATTGTATGTGTCATGTATGAACAATAGGAAAGGCATTATTAGAGTAATTAGACTACACATATCAGTTGTTCAAAATAAATATTCTCCAAAAATCCTGTCCGAGTGAATAGACCTTTCCCCTTGTAAGTGAAATTTTGATCTAGACAAGCCTGGACAACAATTTCATCCCAGCTTGAAAGAGCATCACGAAAATGACTGAAAAACGGCAAACTTCGCAAGGCTATATTATCCGCATTTTATAACATTTCGCAACGAAACTTTGGAATATTACTAATTTTTGTCCAGACTTGTCTAGATCAAAATTTCACTCATAAGGGGAAAGGTCTATTAAACTCAAGAGACTTCGTTGGCAATGAAGTTACGTAAGCAATTCTTTGGATTGAGCGAAAGCGATCAGATTTTGCACGCCAGGTAATCCTGATCCTACAACAGCAAGAAAAAAATTGTATTGATAAATGTTTTCTTGGATAATCTACAAATGTCAATTTACCAGCCAGGTCATCTTACCTTTGAGGTATTGGTCCTGACATGCCAATGGTAAAGTGGAATGAGTCATTGCGAGCTGTTTAGAAGAGAGAGAAGTGGATTAAAAAACCTTAAAGTGTGACTAACCCCAAATATGATTTTGGGTATGTGTAATATTTGGGTTATTCTAAGAAGAAATATAATATATCTTTATAGTAAAAAACATCAAAGTTTCCGGATTTGATGTCATTGGGTGAATTTTTGGTACAGAAGACAAAGAAAAACTAATTTGCAGTTCACCTAATGACATCATATCCGGAAACTTTGACAGTGAAAAAGTTGATTAAGACGGAATTTTTTATTATAATGATATATATTACATTTCTTCTTCGAATGACCCAAATATTACCCATACCAAAAATCATATTTGGGGTTAGTCACACCTTAATCATCACACACAAGAACTGATATCACTCATCCAGGACTGACAACCATGGACTTACCTTGAAGCAACTTTGGGCAAAGAAATTTCTCAAGTCTTTCTCAGTGACATTTTCCAGGAAACGTCTCAATGGAATTATGTGTGAATTTGGGGCCATCCTAAATAGAAAATGGAAAAATTCAACTAACTTTATTTAATTAGTTCATGGCGATAAAACATATCAATAGTATTTTTTGTTTGTGGAAACACCACGTCAATTTATTACTGCAATAATAAATTGACGTGGTGTACTGGTGTTTCCACAAACAAAAAGTATTATAACTTTATTTATACTAGACAGCTCTACCAGTCTTATGCAGTACTATATCTTGAAGTCCAGTTATTGATCCGGTATTACTATAGGAGAAACATACACTAAACTAACTTTACTGGATAGCTCTATCAGTTCTAAACTGTTCTTCCTAGAGGTCCAGTAAGGATCATCTCTTATTAATCCAGTGTTACTACAGGAGGGGACCTAAACTAAACTAACTTTATTTATACTGGATAGCTCTATCAGTTCTAAACTATTCTTCCTAGAGGTCCAGTAAGGATCATCTCTTATTGATCCAGTGTTACTACAGAAGGAAACCTAAACTAAACTAACTTTATCTATACTGGATAGCTCCATCAGTTCTAATCTGTTCTCCCTAGAAGTGCAGTAAGGATCATCTCTTATTGATCCAGTGTTACTACAGGAGGAAACATACACTAAACTTTATTTATACTGGATAGCTCCATCAGTTCTACATTGTTCTCCCTAGAAGTCCAGTAAAGGGCTATTCCTTTTTCGTCTGGTGTTACCACAGAAGGAAACCGGAATACTTGGAGACAAATTGAAAGAACTATTCGCAGATGCGTCGGAGGTAAAATGGTAATAAATTACAGTTTCCTACAGTAAATTCCTTGTTGGTTTATGGTACTGTCAAAACTCACCAGTTAGTTAAAAAGTCTTCCACAATATGATGAATGCGATCTGGTTTAGGAAGTTTTGAGCCGCCAATTAACTCTGTTGGTGGAGTGCGGAAAAAATATATGACCGGATGGAGAAAGTTTGAATTATGAGCGTCAGCTGGGTCACCTGTGGCTCGGTCCTCACGGAACGGATCCTTTCTATACGAGGTGAAAAAAACAAATTTAGTTCTGGTTGTTTTCTAGTTGTTAAGATGCACATGCGGACAAATCTCGCGGAGGTTACAAAACAACACATATTTACCCGGCACCGGAGAAGCCTTTGCCATATTCAAGGTTAATAACGAGAATTGGTCCTTCAGGCAATCCAGTATAACCTTGAAATAAAAATATAGTAAAAATTTAAAATATAAATAATATCCATGAACAACAATACCACAATACAACACATCATAACCTAACGACAATAACAACAACGATGACAACAACAACACCACCAACAACAACACAAACACCAACAACACAAACACCAACACCAACAGCAAAACAACACAACACAACGGAACACAACGGAACAACAACAACAACAACAACAACGTCAACTGCAACAAACACCAACACACCACCAACAACAACATCACCAACATCAACAACAACAGTAACATCAACAACAACAGTAACAGTAACAAACACCACCAACACCACCAACAACAACATCACCAACATCATCAACATCAACAACAACAGTTAGAGTAACAACGGCATGTTTAAATACTCTCTAGCGTACTGAATCCTGACTTACGTTGGAGTTGAGGAACTAACTGAAGAGGGAATTCTTCGACATAAAAAGCTTTTCCACCTGGCTCTAAAAAATAAAAAATATGATGTAATTATCAACCATGTCCAGAAATAACAAATGAAATAGAAATGAGCACAGTTCTACTTACGATAAATAACAACATCGACGACAACACCAAACATTTGATACGGAGCCTGAACAGATTAAACAAAATCATGAATAACAAACACATACTCTTCTATAACTGTCGCAGATCTCTATATAGCGCCCGGGTATAATTCAGGCTGAACCACATAAGAACAGATAAATATTCGAGAGATTTTGCCAAAACTAACCGAGGCTTCGTTAATTCTCTTCACAATCATGTTCAAAACATCAAGAGTACGTATTTCGTGATGGAACCACTTCACCCCATGATTTTTCCACTCCAAAATGCGATGTAGTGCTCTGGCTAAACAAAAAACATTGTAAGTAGATATTGAAATATGCATTTCATCTTTGTGATCATGGATGCCATTCTATGCCTGCAGTATGCAACTATCTGATTATAATTTCATCTCAGCTGTATGAGAGAAGAGCATAGATATCTTATATATACTAGATAGTGCATCTAATTATTCTGCAATTCAAAAATTGAAGCCGCGATTGCAAACTCAGGATATTCCCATGAAATGAGAAGACTCGCATGTTTTCTATTTCTTAAACAGGGAACTTAAACATTAAGTTAAACCTATTCCAAACACATTTTCAAACTATTCAAATGATGAAAGTTATTGTTGTTTTTGGGAAACTCCAACATGGCCGCCATCTATTCAAATGGGGGTAACCGCTGGAATATTCTTGGCTTCAATTTTACTAAAAGAGATGCGCTATCTAGTGTATGTAAAGATATTTATGGAGAAGAGTGCTTTCACTTTGACTCTACCAAGACGAGTTACTCCGGTGTCGTCCTGTTGCGATAATTACCAATATAAGAGACAGTCCTTACTGGACCTCTAAAGAGAACAGTTTAGAACTGCTAGAGCTATCCAGTATAAATACATACCTGTGTATCTATAACCATGAATAAATCCGCCAGCTGACTTACGCCAATCCAGAGAATGCGATACGACACCAGCTACATCAAAATACAAAGGAGTAAATAAAGTTAACGATAACAGGGCTAAAATATACAAAAAGAACATCAGTTGCAAGCTCCCCCCGGATTGTGTACACTATCTATCTATATGAGTTACTCGTTTGAATTTTTGCTCTAGTTACAGTAGTTGCAAACTTTGCACTAGTCTAAAAATATATTGTTCTATAACCAACTCACCAAACCACATTCGCGGAACTCGCGTGCTCTCAAAATTGCCTTTAATTGAAGGGAATTTTTTTTTCTTTCCTTCACAAGGTCCTGGCTGGGCACTTTCCTCAAAGATCGAGAAATCAAACTAGATAATAGATGACATTAAATTGAACTAATAGCGGGTTTTCTCTCGTAGTAGCAATGGACCAACTTGAACCAACCTTAAAACCCAGACATGAAAGAATTCTATCGTATGGATCACGGATGGCAAAGTTATCAGCTAAAATAAAATATCATCTTTAAGTTAGTTTTCACAAATGATAACTCAGTGCCAAAAATGCGCGGTGAGTGAAGTACATTGCATGTGTGTGTGTGTGTGTATACTCAGGGCTGCAAATTACTGTCGGACATCGGACAATGTCCGACTAAATTTGGCAAATGTCCCAGCAAAAGTGATTTTGATCGGACATTGGTCCGATCACAAAATAAATTGTCACATTATACATATTTTTGCTGTGACAAAATCCGATTGCAAATTCACTCAATTTGCATTTTGCAATAAAATTTACGAGGCGTTCTAGCATTTAATTTTACTTAATTAACGTTGCGCCAGAATGGCATACATACTTGTCTCGTGACTTATATATATTTTGTCACATATATATGTCCGACCAAATTTAGTGATGTTGGTTTTTGTCCGACCAAATTCAGGTTATGTCCGACCAAAATTAAAAGTGATGGGACAAATGTCCTGTCAAGTCAAATATATATTTGCAGCCCTGATACTGCATGCACTTTCTAAATTTTTAGTGTAATTAACATATGGTTGGAAACCATGGGGCAACCAGCAACCTCCATAGTCTAAGGGCCTAGCTCCAAAATCAAATGTCAAAATATGTGCTTTAAAATTATGGAGCTACAGATCAAAACCATGTGGAGGTTTTCAAGCATCGTCTCCCTCCACAACAATAAAACCTACAATCATGTATCAACATTAACTCACGCCCTACTCCAGTATTGTTTATCATTCGGCCAGTTCCTCCATAAACATCAACATAATATTTATCATCGTGTTTGACGAGAGTCATTTGTGTGTTGATCGATGCCTCTGTAGAAAATATTTGGAAACTATAAGTAAGTTGAGAGGCACTAACAAATTCCGAGCGTCTCTTTCTTACCCAGTAAGCCATCTAAAGATTTGAGTTGATAAGTGTCCAAAAGACCATTGTTTATTGCTCTGTAGGTTAAAGATAATAATGAAATTAGGAACCACACATGATAATGAGAGATATATAGAATGTGCTGTAGTTTACCTCAAATCACCAACGTAATGCGTTGCCCATGCCAACCGTACTCGTGATCTTCCAACCAAGTGAATAAGATTTGTTGATGTGATAATGTGATCAGCTGTTTCGAAAGCCGAGTTACCTGTGAAAAATAATTTTATTTAAACAACGAGAATAGTATCAACAATATCACCACCATCACCACTATCACCATCATTATTATAATCGCCACCATCATTATCACAATCACCGCCACCGGTACCATCATCATAATCACCATCATCACTATCATCATCACAACCACAATCACCATCATCATAACCATCATCACCACAACCATCATCATAATCACCACCATCTGTTTCATAACCACCATCATCATCATCACCATCATCCACCACTACCATCACCAAAGGATAGTTGTGTACAACACGGGTGCAGGACGAGCAAAACTGTACCTCTTCCAAGAATAAGAACGCTCTGCCCCTCATAGTCCTCTTGGTCCAAAGACATACTTCCGTATGTCTGAAATAGAGAAAACATTCCCCGACGTTGAAGTAAAATAACTATCCAAGGTATGCAATGGTTCGTATACAGCTATTTCAATTAAGGTTGTCCCTCAGGAAAGCGGATTTTTTAGGGATTCCCAGCAGTCTTTCGCGCTCGTATTCGGCTTTTCCGCTTTGCTCGGGGACAACCTAAATTGAAATGGCTGTATACGAAACTGTGATTCAATGTCAATCATATCATAATTTAAATAAAAAGCACCTCGACAAATTCAGCTCCTTTGAACGTAGGCATTACTTCTGTCGACATTCCCGTGCTAAAACATAGTACATAAACATATAACAAACAACATGAACAAAAACATACAGACATTGATGCTCATTTTCTGTTTAACTACGCTTTCTGTTTAATTAACCTGAATATTCTGTGCAGGACATACAATTTTTAAACCTGAACGCGGCGAAGAAGGCCTGTTAAAGCCTAGTGGTTTACACTGTCAAAGTTTCTGTGATCACAGTAGGAATTTTGCATGGGTAAATTTTATGTTTTGAAGGATTCGTAAGAAATGTTTGAGGAAACTAATTCAGTGTTAAACAATGAGTCAGTTCCCTCAAAACCTTCTTACAAATCCTTCAAAAATTCAAATTGTGATCACAGAAACTTATGTTGCATATGAAAACATTTAAATGCAAAATGCTACGAACAGATAGACCACTTTCATTAAAGCAGAAGGCTGTTTTAATGAAAGTGGTCTATCTGTTCGTAGCATTTTGCAAAGCGTCCATGCCTCCAATCTACATACAAATGCACGTCTATTGTGCTTTTCGCGCATAGAGGCAGAGGTTTTGCAATATGAAAGGACATGCAACCTTCTTCATTGAATAACCTGGTTTTGATGTAAAGCATAAACCATAGAATAAAGATCCCTACAGAAGGGCCACTTTAATACGCCGGAAGCTTTGAAGTTTCTGTCCTTGCGCATGTCGCATTACGCATGTTGGCCGCCATTTTCCTAGTCAGTCAATGACATTTTCTGGCCAATAAACACGCTGTACTGGCTGGCTGCTCCGCCTTCTGGGCTCTGGCCACTAAACTGCATATTTTTGCATAAAAAAACGAGGTCACGTTGCACCCACCGCTGAGTGGCCCTTCTGTTACTGATCTTTATTCTGTGGCATAAACCCATCTCACCTCATAATCAAATCAGCACATTTGTACGTTTTAGAGTTCTGATCTTTGAGGATGAAAACATCATTAAATGCGTCCTTTGACACATTTAGAATATTTGTGTTGTACGATGTACTCAGGTTGAGTTTGGTGGCGAAGTCATTTAAGTATTGAACCTAGGGGAAAATACGTAAGCAAATATTATTACAAATCTGTAGTTGGTTGGTTATATATTAGAGGTGTGCGAATCCGATCCGAATCCGATCCGAATCCAATCCGATCCGATCGGATTCGGATCGGATTCGGACAGTAAATTACTCGGATTGGATCGGATCGGATTTCGTTTTGTTTCTGTCGGATCGGATCGGATTTTGCAGGTTTTTTGTCGGATCGGTTCGGATTTGATTTTTCTTGTATCACGTCGAATTATTCGAATATTTTTACAAATTGAGAAATTGTAAATTATGAAAATGCGTATGATTTTACGTATGATTTTACGTTGTATGAAATCAAACAGTGTCCAGTTTTTTTTTTTGAACACCTGGTATAAAAGTGTTTTGAGTTCTTGTGACATATATTTCTAAAAAGAATTTTGAGTTATTTGGATTTTGGACGTATATTTCTCAGTTACGTACGGGATTGGATATATAGGAAATTTAGGAATGTTGTGTTTTTTTGTTTGGTTTGTTAGGTTTATGTATCATGAAGCCTGACAATGAGGTTTATTAGTAATAAACTTTAAGATGTTTTAAAATGTAAACCTATCTCAAGCCCATGATTTATTATACTGAATAAAACATTTTTGACTAGTTGGTTTTTTTTTCTATGCTAATTCTAATAAAATATAAACTGCTGTTACTGTGTACTGTAAATGTGAACGCTATAAGGCATAATTATGTGATATCGCCCTGCAATTTTTATCGGATTCGTATCTGCTTATTTTTGCTAGAAATTCATTATTTCCAATATATCGTTTATGATCATGAAAAAATACGTTCATAATAATTAACGCACGCTGTACAGCGTACACAACTTAAGTTCGAATCGGATCGGATTACGAATTTTAGCATCGGACCGGATTTTATAAACATTGTTTCGGATCGGATCGGATTACTTTTTTCATCTTCGGATCGGATCGGATTCGGATTGAGAACTTAGACAAACCATCGGATTGAGAGAGGTCAATCCGATCCGACGCACACCTCTATTATATATATGCAAATATTTTAAAGTACAAAGAAATTTCAGAGTATTTTATTATGATCGCATTGAAAAGAGAAATGCTAAGGTTATAGTCAAGGTAAAGGCTCAAGGTAAATAAATCTGGAAGTTATCCTTCAAATATGTCAGGCCAATTAGCAAAATAAGAGTTATAATAAGTCGGTTCGTAAAAAATTCGCCGCCCGGAAATCTATTTTTTTAATAATCGCTAACTACGCATGTTTTTGTTGCAAGATTGTGCTAGGACAGTACAGTATGGCCTCGTAACTTCTCGGGCAAACTTTGACCGTGATTTTTCAACTACCAACGCGCTATATAGGTCTTGGTGGCTATTTTTTGCACAAACAAAGTCTATGACATGGAAACGTTAACCTGTTTTTTAAAAGCAAATAGGGTACATATGCTACTAAAAAATAAAAAAACACTCGCCTCATTTTTTTTTTAAAAAGTGATGAAAAACAGAAATATTTTTTTAACTGGCATGAATTTTTCATTCTTTCGCTACATAGGATTAATATCATAGTCATAGAAACAGAACGTCTGTGGTGGACTGTGAATTCGATCAAATGTGCTTTACACTATTAATCTTTACAACAATTGTGATATTACTTTCTTAACTGTGTTTATCCTAACCCACCCTGTCAACTTTCCCTGTGGGAGGAAACCAGAGTACCCGGAGAAAACCCACGACTTTCGGCAGAGCGTTGACTCACTCTTCACATGAGTCCGTAGCGAGAATCGAACCCACGATCTTAGAGGTGAAAGGCGCTTGTTCTGATGCCTGCGTCACCGAAGCCCCCATGGGTTGTTGCTGATATGGCAACCAAAAGAAGGCCTGATATCTCCAGGCCCGTAGCTGAGGGGTGGCCTGGGGGGCATTGCCCCCTCACTTGGTGGGGCAGTGCCCCCCAGTGCCCCCCCCCCCCCACTCCGAAATTTGGTATGAAAAATTGAGATAAAGGGCCTGGAAACCAATTGCAATCATGGGACAAATTCTGTAAATTTTGTGGTTAATTTTGTGATGTTAGGAAAATTTTTGTTAGGTTTCGGAAAAATTTGCTCCGGAACAAATTTTTTGACCCCTAAAATGGTACACTGACCGAAATTTTTTTGGCGACGGGGGGGGGGGAGGTTGCCACAATAAATTCCGGAAAAAAAATTTCTTATCTCAAACCCTCTGTTACATTTTTTCTGCAGTGCCCCCCCAGAAATTGAGGGCCAGCTACGGGCTTGGATATCTCAGAAGTGGTTCAACAAAATTGAGTGAATTTAGTACAGTTATAATGCATGAACGTTTTATCGCGATTATATGGTAGTCAGGCAACACAGTGTATCTCATTTTAATCTGTTTTAATTAAGACAAAGAGAACAATTTCTATTTTTATGCTCGAACTTATTATTAAGCTTTTTCACCTGTTCAAATAAAGTCCAAACTAACATATTCCACGCGCAAACAAATTGCGCTTGTTTAATTTTCTACTATTAAGAACAAGCGCGTACGTTGGCTGGCCTAATTAAGCTGTTGATGCAATTTTGACTTTTGTAAACGCTCTAAACAAAGAAAAGATTATAAGCATGCAAAGAACAACGAAAAATAGAACAATAAATATTGAATGGTTTTTATTGTCAACTAGATTTCATTCCCTAATAATAACCAACTCCAAAGAGTGTTTTTTTTCTACAGAAACTTATCAGAATACAAGTTAGGCATTATGCCTGAATTTTTGTAGGCATTCCAATTATTTTGAGTACCGGAACGGATTTACTTTATTCCGCTCAAAATATGGAGACTATACAGTAAGTATATTAACGTAGATAAATCTAGTATCCTCGGGTATAAAGCCCTGGTTTTGAAAATATCTACTAGAGATGTGCGGTGCGAAAACATTGAAAAAATGATAAAAAAACAACATATAGCTTTAGGCAAAGTCTAGCTTCAAAAACAAAATTCAAGTGCGCAAGGTATGTTCGCGATTTGTAACTTGGAGGCGAATTTTTACGACTTGGCAGAGAAAAATTCGAAGATCGTTTCTTCATCAATATAGAAGAGTCCTAGGTTGAACGTTTTTTCTGAGAATGCCAATGTCATATTTCGCTTCATTTCAACTTTTTCGCATTCTGCGAAACAGGTTTGCGTTTGGCTTTAAAAAATATTGCCTATAATGAGTTTGACAACTGGCGACTTGGCAAGACAACCGATGGTTATTACTCTGATATTAGTTCTGCACCAGAACTGAGAAGATCGGTGAACCATAGCCATGGGTGAACAAAGCCTAAAGAATTATGTTATCTGATATCTATGTGTTTACACTGCATTTTTTGAGCATGATTTTATTATTTTAATCTTCGTCCGCGCATGCCCATGCGAGCAGAGTCGACAGCAGAGTGCTAGTTCCGCTGCCTTTCCCCTTGTTTTGGACCTCTAGGAAGAATAGTTTGGAACTGATATTGTTAGAGCTAGCCAATATAAACAAAAGCTAGTTTTTATCTAATTACAGTAAAATATTCGATATACGTGTCGCAATTATACAAATGAAGTAGCAAAAAATCGTTCTCCGGAACACTTTAGAACACAAAGACTGTCGGAAAGTTTCAGACGCCAACGAAGCCCCTACTGCGAGAAAGAATTAAAACACAGTTATAAATTGCAAAACAAACCAAAACATCTGCTTGAGGAAAGAACTCCTTTGAATATCGAGTCATCCGCAGCGTCTCGTCATCGCTTATCAACGAGTTCCAATCGTGCCTCAGATTAAATTCCTTGTTTGTTTTCCCTAAAAAAAAGGAGGTCACAGATTATTGCTGAAAGGGAAGTCGCCAGGTTAATCACGTATATAGCACTGCATTGATTCACATAAACGTATTATAATAAGCCTATAAACTTTATTCTAATATTCAGAAGGCTGGTTATTATAAAAGAATATGCAACTGCGGAGGTTTTAATCGAAGATTCTCGTTTTTTATTCGAAATTTACATCAATATACAGGATTGTTTATTACACGGAACGAACGCACGAGGACTTTAATACAGGATGACAATAAAACAATAATCTATGTTTTGATACTAAATACGATACGATTTATAAGACTGCGAATTAAAATAGCCCAAATGTGCGAAATTAGTAGGAATTAAGTACAAAAGCGGCTTATTAAAACAGGCAAAATAATATCCGCGTTCTTATATATGCGAATTTATAAAACTTCCTTGCTTTGATACAAAAACAATATAGATATTAATTTTTCCACTTTAAACGTATTTTAGGATTTATCTAGGCCGATATTGGTGAAAATAATTAGTTGTTTACTGTAAATCCTTAGGCTTTAAATTAATAATCAGACATCGAGATGTTCCATTTGACGACAGCGAACACACTTAAACTTCCCATAAACAAATAATAAAACACGAGCCGTGTTTGTCTTTTGTCAGCAGGGTTTTGGTGTACGAGCTAAACTTTGTGTGTTTGAGCTAAACTTGTATAGGATGCTTGAGTTTTGTCTTGGCAAAATGGACACGTCATTGTCTGAGCCCATGCAGTATAAATGGGGAAATCAGCTAGTACAGTTTGTCTACAACACTGTATGAAAAGTGTGTAAATTTGCATTTGACGTACAAACGTTTTAGAGTGGCTGAGATAAGAATTGGTGCCTGACACTTTATCAATTTTGACTTCGGAATTTAAAACAATTGACAGAAATCTTAGGGCGAAACGATTATTAGAACAAAGTATTCAATAACTATTGAGTTCCAGTGTTCCACTATCAGGAAGTCATATTAAACACGAGGATTTTATATTTTTACTTGCTTCCATACCCGTAAATCTCTTATTTATCGAAATCAACTTGCGATGTCGTGGATATTTCTTATAAAATGTGCCTATAAAATATACCAGCAATTAGAACAATATTATTGACGATACTAAAATGCTGCATTTTAATGTTCTCCATTTGAATAATAGTGGACACTTACCGGCTGAACTACCTCGCTCGAATACAATATAATTCCGATTTGCCTTTTGCAGATAATATGCAATCTGTAAACCTATAAGAAGAACACTCTTGAATTGTCAAAATTTTGATAAATATGAGATAAAATTTCGATACTTTTATACCTCCTGGTCCAGCACCGACCACGCAATAGTCATACTCAGATGAAGTTGTCGAATATACACCAAACGACAGCGCTATCACGAGAAATAGTAGCCCTATTTTACAAGCCATCATATGCCGTTCAATAATATTATAATAACACCTCCGTTGATTGAGCTTTATAACAGGAAACGTGTTATATGTACAGTGTTTAATCAAGCAGCATTTGCATTAATTTGAATAAATATGTTGTAAAGTAGGCATTCTTTTCAGTCATCACAACAATTCGTTTGAACACCGATCTCTGAACACCGACTGAAAAGTAAATAATGCAAAATTACTAAACCGCGTTGGAAAATATCCAACTGTAGACTGGGACGAGTGGGATCAGGCCTAAAAAAAAGATCCTTCACAAGACGAGAGGACATTCGGAAACACTTCGAGATATTTTTCAATTTTTAGCTACGAATTCAAATCACGCTTACTTCCAAAAAAATGCAATATATTCTGAACTTAAACTTTATTTGTATCGATAAAATGAAAAAAAAGAAGTTGATAGTCAGAGTATTTCTAATTTGGTCTTCAAAACGTACAGAAAAGCAAAAACAATCGATATGAAAATTGATTGAATATTGAGTGTTTTTAATTCGGTTTCCGAGGACGTCCCGATGATATTCACTTCATTTTGAAGGATGGTTTTTAAGCTAATGCCACATAGATGGTTTTCTAAACAAAAATATTCGTGTTTGTAAATATGGGTAAAATTTGACAGATTTCATTGGAATTAACTTAATTTTGAAACATAGAGAATGCTAAATCATATAATGTGGTAGTGGGTATTTTTAAAGGTTTAAAAAACTGTAAATTTTAAAATGAATTGGCTTGATTCTAGTTCATTCAGTGGCTTGTTGAGTCAGGCACAGAAGTCCATTGATAAAGTGTTAGATATACCGCGAGAAGACGATAAGAAAACGAACCAGAATTTGGACACAGGTAACTTTGACATACGAGTAATATGCACATAGTATTGATGGCAATTTGTAGTGTAAGTGGTACGACTAGATTCTGGTTTAAAATATGCATGTAATAATCATATTGAAAAATAAACGATAATAGCAGCCACAACCATGTCACAGAATAAAGACACACAGAAAGTCGACTCGGCTAACAAGTGTAACCGCTGCCATGCCATGATTCGTCATCAAAATGCTGATGTGCTTATGAGAGGCATTCCCCCCTGGATGCCCGCCATTTTGAATATTATCAGGGGGTGAATGCCTCTCATAGGCACACTGGCTAGGTCCATGGCATCAGCATTTTGATGACGAATTACGGTTACGCCCAAAATATAGTAAAAACCAAGAAGCCGATCTTCTGTTTGTCTCTATTCTGTGACCATATCAAGGATGCTCGGCATGTATTACGGTGTCAATAATTATGAATACAGTATACTTTCTGTTACGCCTCCCTCCTAAATAATCCCCTCCCCCTTCTCCAACTTCCCCCCCCCCTCAACACCCTATTTCCCATCACAAAAAAGAAACACATATGTAGCGATAAACTGGCCTGAATGTTCACATAAGCTTGCCATTCTGGCAAAATCAAAGTGCACCAGGTCTCCCTCTCTATCAGCCCCCTCTCCAATAACCACCCCTCTCCTACTGTACTGTACAACCCCCATCTCCCCCTCAAAGCATGCCTGGGAAAAGAATACCTGTGAAACTTAACAGAGGATTTGCAGTACAAGTGAAAGTATATACTTGCAACTTCTCATTTAGGTAAATCACAATCGCAAACACCCAAAACTCAAGAGAAGAAAAGTTCTGAGCAAAAGTCATCAAATAGTTGGCTTTCGGGGGCAGATTCATTTTGGGGTTCCTTGACTCAAAATGTGAGTGGCAGCCCGAAGACGGACACAACGCAAGACAAGGAGAAAAGCTCCAATGATGTTGAAACAAAGAATAAAACAACATCTGAAAGGGCAAATGATATTCCACCAAAGGAATCAAAATTGTCTTCCAAGCCCATGAATTTGAAACGAAGTAGCAAGAAAAAAATTCCAAAGAAAAAAGTTGAAACATCGGATAGCCACCCTAATGAGAATTCAGCAACCAAAAGCACGCCTGAAAATGAGGCGGGAACTGAGACCGAAACACCGAGTGATTTAAAAGTTCAATCAGATGTAATTAAAAAGCACAAAGATGGAGACTTTACTGATGTAGATATTGGTAGTATCAGTTTAGATACATTGGATGGTAAAAATTTTGAAGCCTCAAATGACGATAGTTTAATGAGTGATAATGCTGTCCACGACAGTAGTGGGAATGCAAAAGTAAAAACAGAATCGGATGTAACTGTAGAACATGATGAGGATGTTTTGATGACAGAAAATGGTAAAGTTGTCCAAGGCAAAGAAGAGGAAAGGGGGGATTTAGAAGTGGAAGTTGAAACAATGAAACAGACTGAAATGATGGAACAAGTTGAAAAACTAGAACCAGTAGAAAATGATAGAAATAATAAAATGGAAGATGAGGATTTGGAAAGTATTGATGTAAAAATCAATGAAGAGATGAAAGTTGATAATCAAAGTAAAAATTCTCAGAAATTTGGTGTGGATGGAAGGAGTGATTTTAGGGTGGATAAGGATTTCCTGGAAAATGGAAGGAGTGATTTTGGGGTGGATAAAAATTTCCTGGAAACTGAAGATGAACAGCCTGAAAGGCACCAAGAACAACAACTGGTTGCAGAAAGTGTTCAAAATTTAGATTTGTTTTCATCTCCCGTGGCAGCATCAACACCTCAAAGGAAAGAGCCTTCTCATTATAATACTCCCAGCAATGATCAGGGACTCCTTCCGTATGACACTGATGACAATGGTCTGTTAAGCAACCTTAATGATTTGCTAAAAGCAAGTGAATTTCCAGAGAATGTTGAACAAGACGTCGTTTTAGATCCTGGGGACAAAGCTGATAAAGATTCGAATATCAGTAATGAAATGACAAGGGTTAATGATGATGTGGAAGGATTGGAATCAAAGAGTGACTCTAAACAGGTGGGTACCATAAGGCTCTACTGAATATAAACTCAAACAGTCTGCACCAGTGTACAAAGGTAGTGACCGTAATACCAAAGAGCTGCCGATTCCAAGCAAATACAGTACAATGTCCCTTCAATTCACAGCTTTTTAAAATTTTTCTATCAACTTTACAATCATATTATATAAAAAATACACATACAGCTATGATTGAAGGATTAGACAACAGAACTAGAATAAGAATTCCATACTAAGTTCATCCATCTAACACTAAAACACGACATATTACGGACTACAAACTGGACAATGTAATACTGATTTTAAAGGCCTTTACACTATATAAAACATGTAAGAATAAATACTGCACTACTGTGAAATTATTTGCGAGGTTCAGATTTGACCCACACAGGCCCCACCACTAGTTGGAATAGCTTTCTTTACTGAATATATCAATGCACCATACCTCTATCATCAGATGGGAGTATTTCCCGGCTTGGTTTGTGAAAAAATATTGATATGTGGCATATTAATCATGTTATGCCCTTTTTCAGGAGAATGAGAGATTTCGTCAAATTATTGAAGTGAGAGAGTCAAAGTTAATTGACTTGAGCAAAGAAAATTTGAATCTTCAGGAGACAAACGCTGTCTTAAGAAGGTAATATGATGTATGAGGAATACTACGTGAATCAAGTACTGTACAGTTTGGTTATTTAACTCTTCGGTTCATTCTTCAGCCAAATTGAACAACTGGAAGAGCTGCATAAAAGCGAGGATGCGGAACTGGAACAAATGAAGGAAGAATTTACAAAACGAATTGGAGAATCGGAAGCCAAACTACAAGCGGCAGCCAAGGTACAGCACGTGACTCAGTCGTGAAGATTGCGTGCATTAACGTATTGAAGTACATACACGCTTTATTTATCACATTCAATATTGTATTTTAGGAAAGAGATCTGTTCAAGAAACAGCTTGAAGAGACCCAGAAATGTTTAAGTTCTGAGTAAGATTTGCAAAAACATTTTCATATATGACTTGACATACTTGTGTTTCCTTGAAGTACTTATATATACACACTCACATGTACTGGTACATTTTAAACACATGAACAATTAAACTTTATATTCTTGTACAGCATGGAGAGACAACTGAAAGAATTTCAGTCGCTACTACAAGAAAAAGATGAGCAAGTTGCCCAACTTATGGAAGAAGGTACGTCACAAAACATCAACAAAACAGAACCATCACAGTTTGTAGTCTAACTTGTGTTTCCGTATTTCCAATTCTAGGTGAAAAGTTATCAAAACAAATTCTGCAACGTAATACCAATATAAAGAAACTTCGGGCAAAAGAGAAAGAGCTGAACGCATCGAATGAAAACCTAAGGTGCGTTAACATTCTAAGTTTTATAATGTCGTGCGGTCGCGGTTTGGCTGTGGGTCGGATGCGGTTAGGCCACGGTAAAGTTTTGACTTGGTTAGGGTGGTCCATATATTAACTACGGGTTTCGCTAGGTTATTTCTGAGTGATACTGTAATACACACGTAAAAAGTTCTTACAGATCTGCAAACAAGCCGATATTATTAGGATATCTTCGTACTGCTTGTTCCCAGTTGTTGTGACAAGTCTAGAACAAGGTGTTATCACTTTGTTACAAGATTGATAGCGGTAATAGAGTTGCTACAAGACTAATACAGGCTGTTCGTGACAAGTTGCTACCAGCTTGTTATCAACTTGTGACGTGCAGACGATGTCAGTGATCTGTTGGACTCATCAACCTTGTTACAAGATGATAGCAATTAACTTTTTCCAGACTTGTCAACAACTGGGAACAAGCAGTGCGAACACATCTTGTTGACAAACTGGGGTATTTACGTATGTACTGTATATCCAATTTCTTCAGCACAAAGTTTGAAGCAGCAGAGGCGGAGATTGAAAGATTGACTGGAATATTGAAAGAGAGAGACGATCACGAAAAAGAACAAGATGGTAAAATCTTTGGGATGCGAAATTATTTTCATATTCAGTACGGATGTGCCCTTAAGCTGCCATTACTGTAGCCAACACCGTTCTTGTAACAGAGAGTTTCAGATTTGACTTCCACTACCTCTCACTGGCTTAGAACGCATCTGATTGGTTAATCCAATATATCAAACGCGTCTGATTGGTTAATCGTATAAATCAAACGCATCTGATTGGTTAATCGGATATATCAAACGCATCTGATTGGTTAATCCAATATATCAAACGCGTCTGATTGGTTAATCGTATATATCAAAGGCATCTGATTGGTTAATCTGATCTATCAAACGCATCTGATTGGTTAATCAGATATATCAAACGCATCTGATTGGTTAATCGGATCTATCAAACGCATCTGATTGGTTAATCGTACATATCAAACGCATCTGATTGGTTAATCGGATCTATCAAACGCATCTGATTGGTTAATCGGATCTATCAAACGCATCTGATTGGTTAATCGGATCTATCAAACGCATCTGATTGGTTAATTGGATCTATCAAACGCATCTGATTGGTTAATGGTCCCGTAATGGTAACGGTATAGTAGTGGAACTCAAATCTGAATCTCTCTAATATTTCGTCTCGGTTTTTAGACGCGATTAAAAAACTAAATGCCTATACGAAGAAACAAGAAGATGTAATTGCCAAACAAAAGGTTTGTATTAGGTATCTTGGCTGTATACATTATAGGCAGATTTATAATGATTCAGTGATAAAATGATTTTGGTTAATTTGTGTTAGGTGGAATTAGAGGAATCTGCAGCTAAACTACCAAGTTTACAAACGGCATTAGATAACGCTTACAAGTATGATTCTTTACATGTTTGGTCTCCTTTGTTGCGATATCTTTCATGCGGAAATGAATAAAATATAGCTGTAATGAAATTGTATACTTCATTTTTAGAGAAATGACCGAACTTCACAAAGTAAACGCAGCAAAGTCCACCGAGGTTCAGGTTAGTATGAGGACTTGTGTATTAGAAACGTCCCAGCTAATATACCTAGTGTATCAGAAACGTCCCAGCTAACATACCTAGTGTATCAGAAACGTCCCAGCTAACATACCTAGTGTATTAGAAACGTCCCAGCTAACATACCTAGTGTATCAGAAACGTCCCAGCTAACATACCTAGTGTATTAGAAACGTCCCAGCTAACATACCTAGTGTATCAGAAACGTCCCAGCTAACATACCTAGTGTATTAGAAACGTCCCAGCTAACATACCTAGTGTATTAGAAACGTCCCAGCTAACATACCTAGTGTATCAGAAACGTCCCAGCTAACATACCTAGTGTATTAGAAACTCCCAGCTAACATACCTAGTGTATCAGAAACGTCCCAGCTAACATACCTAGTGTATCAGAAACGTCCCAGCTAACATACCTAGTGTATTAGAAACGTCCCAGCTAACATACCTAGTGTATCAGAAACGTCCCAGCTAACATACCTAGTGTATTAGAAACGTCCCAGCTAACATATACCCATCAAGAAGATATATGGCAAGAATTTTTTCTGTTTACAGGAAGCGACACTTAGTGTTGAAATGACGGCCAAAGAAGAATTAAGGATTGCCTTGGAAAAATTGAAGAAAGAATCTCAAAGAGAATGCGACGTCTTAGCAATGGAGGTACAGTTATTGAGATGTGCCGTCTAAGTTTACTTATACTGGATTGCTCTATCAGTTCTAAACTGTTCTCCCTAGAGGTCCAGTAAGGACCTTCTTCTCTTACTGATTCAGTGTTACCACAGAAGGAAACCAATGAAAGACACTAACCACGGTACAACCTTCACCCATTTCTCTTAAAGGTGACTGATCTGCAAACACAGTTAAATCGAAGCGAACAGCAAGCCGCCAGAAGAGAGGACAATTTGAGACAAGAGATAGCGGATATTCAAATGGTACGATATATGTATTGGTACATACAGTGCTTATATGGTGTGCTTCTGTCGAGCAATACATTAAACCAAACATCAAAGGCAGCGGGGGCAACTATCTCCAATAATTTCTGTGTACCAGGTGTAACAATATTTTTTCAACCATGAAAGAATTGGTAGCTATATATTATTGCATGAAATTTGAGGCGAGACTCTTTCTTTTACAGAGACTGCAAGAAGCCGAGGGCAGAAATCAGGAGTTAACGCAAAGTGTTTCTGTCGGTGAGCTGGATAAATTTTGTTTGCTATAACCTGCATGCATTTAGTTGTTCACTTTGAATGTTAAAATCTATATTTGCACTATATCTTAGCGACAAGACCGTTACTTCGTCAAATTGAAAATCTTCAACATTCGTATGGCAGTCAACAAACATCTTGGGAGAAACTGGAGAAGAATCTCACAGAGAGATTGGGTAGAGTATTTCGCAGTGTTGTGTTGTACATTTCCCAGTTAGTACGAGTCCTTTGAAAGCAAGCACACGCAAGACTTCAATCGATATCTAAACATTCAGCTTACAGGACCAAAAAGCACTTTATGATATAAACCAACATTTAAAATTATTTGGTTAGGGTATTTGCTACAGCAACTGTCCAGTCACGCATACGTGATAAACAGCCGATATAAACTTTATTAACAAAAGATAATGTGAAACGTAACAGAACGGCGAACATGCAGATTCGGCCATCTCAAATAACGGTAATGTTGGGATAGTAGCGTTGCAGACTGCAGAGGAAAGTGGGCAGTAAGGCTCCCTCATGCACCACCACCCTCCTTGCAGATGAGGCTAGATCCGCCCTGGTGTCAGCAACATCCTTATATTTTGTTCTGCTTTCAGCCGATGCGCAGAATCAGTTGGCCACAGCGCAAGAAAAGGAACGCGCGTCGACAGAAAGATCCATAGAGCTCAGTTCCAGAGTTGCATCCCTTGAATCACAGGTTGCCAACTACAGACAAGAAAAATCTAGGATTGAAGCTGAGTTTGAACTGGAAAAGGCAAAACTGGAAGCTCTAGAAGACTATAAAAGCAGGTAGGAGAACAATGCGACACCACGCTTGCTTTTCAAGTTGGGAGATCCGGGTTCAATCCTTCGTCGGACCTCTACTCAAGCTCTTAAAATAATTGAAGAGAAAGTGCTACCTTTAATTGACATCAGTAAATGGTTAGTTAGAATTTCGCGTCTTCTCGAATAAGGACGTTCGTAGGTACCTCGGATCCCCTATCAATGATAGGGCAATAGCCTGCCGGGAAACCGCTCGCCAATGAGCGACAGATTCAATAAACAAAATTTGTTTAGGTACGAGAAAATAGGAAAAGTCAATCTGCAATCACAAGACTGATCTGTTATCAATTTTTGATTTCAGGGAATCTGGGAAAATCGAAGCATTGAAAAGTATGCATTGTAAACAGTTGGAAACTATGATGGTTGAGAAGGTAGAATGGCACTGTTATTCAAAGGGCCCATTTTTCAATGTAGACTTAACTCGTGATTAATCTTTAGAGTCTCTTGGAACAGCAACTTGTGGTGGAACGGACCAAATACGAGTCAGAGCGAAAGAAATTGACAAAACTTGAAGAGCAGTTGGTAGGTTATTACCGATGTCCTTGTAAGAAGTTCGTGGACCATCAGTAACTTATTATTTCTCCTAAATGTACTTTTAAAACACACCTATTTCCATCCTATAGAAAGAAAGGCCCCAAAAAGGAGAGGATATTGCAGAAGATGATAACGAGGTAACGACAAAGACAAATGTTTAGACGCCACGAAAATCCTGCACTAACATTGGATAAATCTCGCTAGCAATACCTGTTCTTTCAAAAGTTAAATGGTTTAGAAACCAGAAGACAAGGAATTTTTCGTTGTTCTCTACAGTGTCTGACTTAAAAAGGATTTTCATATTTCTGCGGATCTCTGTAAACGCCAATTTACACTGTACAACTTTTGCCTAAAACTGTCGCATGGAACCTGCTTACAACTTGAGTTGTACTATGTAAATCAAAGGTGAGTTGTGTGCTTGATTTAATACACAGAACAACTAAAGTTGTGAGGGGGTTGCATGCGACAGTTTTCGGCAAAAGTTGTGTAGTGTAAAATTGGCCTTGAATGAACTACAGTACAGGGCGACCCATATTACTGTAGGAAGGTTGTAAATCTGGAATATGTTACTGTTTATGTTGCAGCAGGACCCAGCGCAACAAACAACATCAGATCGACGTCGAAGTCGCAATTCTAGTTCGTCCTCAGTCTTCTCTCTGTCCGACGCAATGAGCAGGAATCTGCCATCTGGTGGCACAGCGATCTTGGAAGAATTACGAGCAACGATTCGCCACAAGGAAGGAGAGTTGGTCTCTATGCAGGTTTGTGCATGGCTAGCGCTGTGCCCTGTCTTAGAAGGCTTGTGTAGCTGTTGGATGAAGCACAGTTCAATCAGACCATGTACTCTTGTCCACAAGTAGGCAAGCTGAAAATACACTCAGAGAGCATCATCTTAAATATACAATCTTTACCTGACTGATCATATTGCTTTTATGACCTTGATCAGATGATCGTGGGAAAATCACAGTAAACACGAAGCTCTAGGAAGATGTTCTGTAACTGGTTGATTATGACAATGACAAAAGACCCAATTAGCCTTTCTCACGATGACGAATATCCGCCATTTTTGGGTGGCATCTAATTCTCGTTAACCAATGCAGACAATTAAAACAATGTGAAAAGCAATTTTTCTAAAATAAACTAACCATTTACAAAGCAAATTTACCATCATTCGTCCAAAAACTTACAAAAAGTCGCTGTCATGTGGACTTATCTCACAGACTTCGGCTGAAAAGCCACCCAAAAATGGCGGCGTGAGAAAGGCTAATTGGCTTACATAAAAAGGAATATTGTTCTTGCTTCGTTCTTTAGAAAATCCATTCTATAGCTTATTCTTTTGTCATTGTTATAATCAACCAGTCACAGAACATCTTCCTAGAGCTTCGTGCCGACCCGAAAGTCTCAAGCTTTTGATTTTTCCACTTTACCTCAAGGCATTTGCTCATAACGGTCAATGGAGCTACAGTAGGAATAGATTGATTCCCCCAGATAGATTAATAAGCGTATAGTGAAGAATCGACTTATTAGAGTCTCGGAATTTTTTCTAGTCTGCCATTTCAAAACTGGAATCAAGTCGAGAATCATTGACTGAAGAATTAACCTCGCTCATGAACACCAATGAGAGTCTTACTAAAGAGAATAAACAACTTCAGCATACTGGAAAATCATTTCAGGTAAGAATGGTTAGGAAGGTTAAAGGTCTTGTAATATTAACCAGTCATAACTCAATTTTCAATGTTTTGTTCAAGTTTTTAATAATATTTCTAATGTTGCAGGAACTTCAGACGAAATACAACGCCCTGCTTCAGATGTACGGTGAAAAACAGGAGGAAACAGAGGAACTGAAGTTAGATTTACAGGATATTAAGAACATGTATAAAACTCAGGTAGTTCACCATCTTTCATCAGTCATCCCAAGTAAATAAAATAGCATGATTGATCCTCTAAACACTATGCGATCTTCAATTTCTTCAATATTTCTTCAAAAAGATGCTTGTGGAAACAAGTCAGGAAGTATTCAAAGTTCGTCTTCTAATGCAAACCGTGTTTATCTTTCAGATTCAAGAGTTACTTGGTGGAAGATGACGTTTGGAACAGACGTGGACAGTAGATGCAACATTTTAGCATCCAGACTGGACTGACGTCTGTGAAGGTGGCTTATAGGTCTTCAAGAAAACATAGTCAAAGTGTAACATGGCGCTATGTTTGATACAATTAACAATGCAATCCTCGAATTTGAACATATATGTACAGTACTGTACACCTGTAGTTTTTATGCTAAATTGTCTGTCTAAATATTAATATACCTACTCAATATGAACTAAATCATCTGTAGTGTTTGAATGATTTAATTAATTTTCAAGCAGTGAATGTGTGTAATTTTAGATTTAATTTAGACAAGGTATCCACCCTTTGGTGAAGGTGAAATTCAAGGACTTTCAAGGACCTTTTTCAGTAAATCCAAGGACCTAGAACTGGGAAAAATCTTTAAATATGGCACATATTTTAGACTTTAACCAGCAAATAATACACTTTATTCAGTAATCAAAATCACTAATGTTGGCACAGCAGGAGATTAAGAAAATTAATTCCAGGACTTTCAAGGGATATTCCAGTCCTGGAATTTTTTTTCCAATTCAAGGACTTTCTAGGATTTTCAATGCCCGTCAACACCCTGTTTAGAGCAAAACCATTACAGTTATTTTGTAACACATTAGTGACCAAAACTTCAATTTTAATAGGTACAATTACCCAGTTTTAGGCAAAGTACATTTTTTACCAATCTGGGCAAATTAGAGTGCATTTATAGTCCGAATCCTTAAAATCAATTTCCTACAAAATTATATTTTTGTGAAAATTTTAATATATATTCAACAAACAGCCAACTTCAAAACAATAACACGTTCACAACATATCTATTTATATATAAAGCTCTTGAATTCATCATCCAGTTGTTTACGTAGATCAGGCTTATCAGCAAGATATTCATCCGACTATAAATAGAAGAATTGAATATTATTAGTTGTGATGGCTGTGTAGACTACATTTTGAAACAAATTGTGCCTTGAACAGACATATATTTCTCTCATGAATGTTCGTCCTTAGATGCCTTGCTTACCGTCATTTCCTCGAAAGGTTTTAACGCTTTTAGTTGAGCCAGCTACAAAGTAGAGAGATTTACTCAATTTATATATTCATTTACAAAAATGTCCATATAGTAAATCACAATATTATTTTCCAAAGCATACTTCTTCTTTGAGGTTGGCAATGTTGGTATTTGTTTCTTGCATAACTTCAACACATTTCTTATCCTACGACACAAACAGAAGTCAGAATAATTCATACATGGATAACAAATATTTTAACCCATTAAGTGCCAACACTTGTCTGGCTTAGACAGTAAAATATTAGGGCACATTGCCACTTATAAAAGGGTTAATGCCTGATCATTAGACTGTCAATCTTGTAACCCAAGCCTATGTGAAGTCTTGCAATCCTTGGGGAAAATCAGGCATTGATTTCTTAATTGTTACCTGGTAGATTTTCAAGCTAAATACACGTTTCCAGAAAGTATGTCATGCATCTTTGGCCATAGAGCTTTGTTTCACCCGTGGTTTCACGATTGACATGTTATGCTTTAACTAATGTTCCATACACGAAAAAAGAGGCTCTATAGCCAAAGTGGCGTACTTTCCAGAAAGGTGTATTGGGTTATTTCACAAAACATCTACACTTTCCCCACGGCAGAAATTTCCTCCATGGGGAGAGTGTTGATCTTTTCAGGAACAACCCATTTGGTAGCTTTCCTCAAGCATCACAAGACTCCATGGAGACTTGTAGGCCCAAACGTTATCCTCAGTTGAGGCAAGTATACTTACAAACTCTTTTTCTTCTTGAAGAATAGCAGCAGAGCTCGTATCTTCTGGGTATGGTACTTTCACTGCCGCAAACTATAATACAGAACAAGCATTGGACAAAAATGTAATTTGCAAAATGCTTGTGAAGTCGTAATATATATTTCAATCTCTTCACTTACAGACTTCTCAAATGCATCCACCAAACCAGGTTTTGAAACATGCTGTTTATAAAATGCCCAGTCGATTGCATCTGGTTGTGCCGATAGCGATTCTAGCCTAACAGTAAAAAAGATTGACATGAAACAAACTCTGAAATCTTTCTTTCTTTCATGTGTATTTAAAGCATTTTATTTGTATAAAGAAGAAATATGCATGTTCAAAAAATAAACACGAACAGATACTTGATTGCTAATTTGTTATTTCACAATTATTATTAAATCACAACACAGGCGGCCCAGACGTGTATCAGTGTATAGTAAATATATCATTATAGAATATACCTCTGAGAATATACTAAACAATAAAATTTGAAATGAATTTTATATTTTAAAATCATATTTACTTGCCTACTTTGATTGTATGTGATCGTCTTTTATTTCTGAGCGACTTTACATTCGATGCCTGCGATTGTCTTCATAAGTGATAGTATTGAAAGCAAAGGCTAACGATTCCAGTTCTCAAACAGCCGACACGAACAATTCAAATCGAAAAATATCCCCTTCAAATTGCTTTGTTCCCGGTAAAACTTCGCCAGCGTATAGAATAAACACCCATCTTCGAACATACAAGGCAATATTAACACGTCCTGTAATTTTTGCAATGGATTTTTAGCGAAATGTTTCGAGACTAAAATTCTATGGAACTTAGAAAGACCGATAATTACTATGGTGCCTGCTTGGCCACCTAGCCTCCTATACCGTTTGGATTGTCAGGGGGGGGATTCAAATAAAAAACACCTATTTTCGGCAACAGCCAGCCAATCAACGCCGCGATACCAACTGTTTACAATATTTGCAATCTGATCTTGCAATTTATCAACAACAAAACTCTTTCGATCGATCGATCGTATAGTATAAGATAGAAAGAGAGCTGTATACGATCGAAAGAGTTTTGTTGTTGATAAATTGCAAGATCAGATTGCAAATATTGTAAACAGTCGGTATCGCGGCGTTGATTTGGCTGTTGCTGGAAATAGGTGTTTTTTATTTGAATCCCCCCCTGACAATCCAAACGGTAAAGGAGGCTAGGTGGCCAAGCAGGCGCCGTAGTAATTATCGGTCTTTCTAAGTTCCATAGAATTTTAGTCTCGAAACATTTCGCTAAAAATCCATTGCAAAAATTACAGGACGTGTTAATATTGCCTTGTATGTTCGAAGATGGGTGTTTATTCTATACGCTGGTGGAGTTTTACCGAGAACAAAGCAATTTGAAGGGGATATTTTTCGATTTGAATTGTTCGTGTCGGCTGTTTGAGAACTGGAATCGTTAGCCTTTGCTTTCAATACTATCACCTATGAAGACAGTCGCAGGCATCGAATGTAAAATCGCTCAGAAATAAAAGACGATCACATACAATCAAAGTAGGCAAGTAAATATGATTTTAAAATATAAAATTCATTACAAATTTTACTGTGTAGTATATTCTATAATGATATATTTACTATACACTAATACACGTCTGGGCCGCCTGTG